CCCGACCCGGGCGTGTCCCGCTCCCCCTGAATGACGGGCGGCAGGTTCGACTTCGACGATGGCGGCACTTATTGCGGAGGCTGGGAGGACGGCAAAGCCCACGGGCACGGCATTTGCACCGGGCCGAAAGGGCAGGGCGAGTACGCGGGCTCGTGGGCGCACGGCTTCGAGGTGGTGGGCACCTACACCTGGCCCAGCGGCAAGACCCGGGCGTGTCCCGCTCCCCCTGAATGACGGGCGGCAGGTTCGACTTCGACGATGGCGGCACTTATTGCGGAGGCTGGGAGGACGGCAAAGCCCACGGGCACGGCATTTGCACCGGGCCGAAAGGGCAGGGCGAGTACGCGGGCTCGTGGGCGCACGGCTTCGAGGTGGTGGGCACCTACACCTGGCCCAGCGGCAACACCTACCACGGCTACTGGGCGCAGGGCAAGCGCCACGGGCTGGGCGTGGAGACGAAGGGCAAATGGATGTACCGCGGCGAGTGGTCGCACGGGTTCAAGGGCCGCTACGGCGTCCGCCAGAGCCTCACCACCCCGGCCCGCTACGAGGGCACCTGGAGCAACGGGCTGCAGGACGGCTACGGCGTGGAGACCTACGGGGACGGAGGTGAGCGCGCGGGAGGGGGGGAGCCGGCGAGCGGCGGCCGCTGGGGGGCGCCCGGGGGTAGGCGCGGTGGTGGGCGTGTTAAGAGCGCCGCGCTTCCTTCCACACGTGCGGGCTTGGAAGTCGCCGGACGCGGGAGGACGGCCTTGCGGGAGGCAGCTCGTAGGTTGAGCCCGCGCTTTCTGTTTTCCTCAGACCGGAGGGGTTTCGTGGAAGGATCTAGCTTGCGAAAGACATGTATGGAGCCTTCGATGGAGAACCAAACCGGGTCGTTCTTTTCGAACCAGAAATAAATGTAATAGTCACTGTGGGAGCTACACAGTTTACAAGTTTCTGGTTGTTGAAAGAGTCCGGCTTTCCCCCCTTTTTCTCCCTAAAGAGCACCGATTTGGCCTTGGTGTTTCATTGTAGCACCGTGGGCCTGGCTGCAAATTGTAACTTACTGAGAAAGAATAGCTAGCCTGATTTCTGGAATTTAAAGAGAAAGAGGTAGAACCACGTTTAATAATCTCACAACCCCCTCTTATATCTTGTGCAAACAACTTTTGGAAGCGTAGGGAAATCCCATACTTAAATCAGTCTCATTATACATGACATAGTTGAAGGGTGGGCCCTCTATGCTGCATTAATAATCTGCATTAAGCCATCTGTTACTCTTTCTCCTTACCTTTTTGGGGATGTGTTGCGGTAGTAATTAGGACTCAACGGAGTCTGGCTAGCCTGATTTAAATTTAGAAGGTTGCCTCCTAGAATCCTTTTCCCACTTCAGCATTCCTAGGTTACACAGCTTTGTAGAGTGCTCTTGGAGATACACTGTACTGGAAGTGGTTTTTAACTCACAGTGTAAGGGTTAAGTCCTTCCAAACTGAACTGTACCATTAAAAAAAATCATCACTAGCTGAAAGGCAAAACTTTAAAAATGCATTCTTGTGTGGGCTGATATTGCTATAACATATCTGGAATTTTTCATTCCCTAAAAGGTAGCTTACGGAGTGATGCTGTCATTCTAATAGCATTCACACTGTTTGCAAGCTTGTTATTTGGGAGGTCTCATTAATGCAACTTCTGTTGAAATCAGTATAGAGTTCCCATAGGTAAGCAGACTTTCTCAGGATTAGTTTCCCAGGAAAGATAGTTATGGGTGTATGCATTTTTACACCAGCATCAATATAAAAGGTCTGGTGAGCATTCCATCAATAACCATATTTCAGTGTAAACAGATAGGTTAAACAACACCCATGGAATCAGCAAAATACAGTATATTTGTATTATAAAATTAAAATCAGTGATAAAACATGCAGGAATGCCTCTGGCTGAAAAGTATTGTAGGCTTTGTACTATGCACACTTTCCTGAAGTGAGCAATCCTGAGTTAGGGTGCCAAAACTAAACAGGCCACTTTCTCTGATCCTGATTTACCTGGATAGTGGAGAAACCCATAGAAGGGCCTCAGAAGTAGACTGTGGAGGAAGGTAGAACAAGTGGGCAGGGGCTGAGCTATTTCGGGCTTATAGATAGTAACCAGCACTTCACATTCTGCTGGGGAAAGGAACAGCAGCCAGCATGGCAGTTGCAGTATTGGCAAATTGTGTTCTCTGTAGATGTTCCCAGTTAGCAGCTGTGCAAGAACAACTCAGAGACACCCCCATGTACAAGAGCAATACGTTGTATGTGGCTCCACTGAAGGATTATTAAGACATGGATGTAGAGTCTGGACAGGGAATTTGTGGCAGCAGTTGGTTAAGGGCACTTTGTGCCATGAATGGTACTTGAGCAACCAGTAACAATAGATGTGCTGATAGATTCCACCAATAGAACCAGATACTGTACTTAGGAGTCACTCCATCCAGAAAAAGCTTGAACATGACCTTTTGGACTAAACAAAGTACTCCAATGAGTGGACACCAGCTTCTTCCAAGCAGTGGGAAAAAGCTTGAACATGACCTTTTGGACTAGACAAACAAAGTACTCCAATGAGTGGCCACCAGCTTCTTCCAAGCACTGCTTCAACACTTCCACAGCCTCACCTGACTACGTAAAGTTTAGGAGACAACACAGAACTCTAAGAGATCCCAGGGCACAAATGCTGTGAAGCTGAGCAATAGTCTTCCAGCATCATTCTCTGTAGCAGTAAAAACATTGGAACTAAACTGGAACTAGAGAAGCAAAATAGCTTTTCTAGAATGGAATCTCCATCAAAGCAGTTGCCATTCCAGAGAATAAGCAAGGAGAATAAGCAAGGTGCCATTCATTGGTCATCCATCCTGCCGTAGATAATCCATCTGGGTGAGGCTATTTCCATTTTGAACTGAGGCCTAAAAATGGGTGAAATTGATTCAGAAAATAACGGGCTAAATCTAGCATGGTGCTTCCAGCAGTATTGGCATTTTCTTTGTCTCCCTCTCCCCTTACAGCCATCTGCCTAAAACCTGTTCCAAAATATTGGGAAACTATCCAGATATGGTTTTTGTGGAAGTCTGCAGGAAGGCTGGGAATTCTTGCACTTCCACTGGGAGAGCTGCCTTCTGCCACTGGAAGTACAGTGTTGGCCATAGCACATTTCAGATATATTTCTACATATTAACTCATTCTTAGCATAAGTGGACAACTAGAAGAAGAGTTTGGAAATCTCAATATCCTTACTATTTACATTTTAAACCATGTGTATTTATTTGAAAAGTCTGAAAGATGTAGAGCTTTGAAGGGCTGCCTCTTGGAACCAAAGTTCCCAGTGTTGCATTGTTACTGGCTGCACAGCCTGGAGGATTCTATGGTTTGTAGGCCAAAAAAGAAATATTTCCAGCCATGCACATTGTTGTAAATCTGAAAAGGACCTGAAGAGTCTATACCATTCTAGATTTGTGATTCTGTTTGTAAAGTGAATTTTTCTTGGCAACAAATCTCTAAATTTCTTTTGGCATTTTAAGTGAACATTACAAGATGTATCAATCAGAAGTTCATTCAGGTCAGGTCAGAGTACAACTTGTCCTGATGAACTGTTTCATTGACATACTATACTAGTATTACTGTATAGAAAAATGCATTTGGGCCAGATTCCCACTGTTTGCAGCAGTGAAGCTTACTGGAAGTTATAGAAGTGCCCTAATTTATTCCAGGAGAAAGATACAACTGGATTGATTCTTTTAAAAATGTGTGTTCTGCCTGTTGGTCTCAGTCATTTCATGCTGTGGAAAAGACAGGTTGATAAATACTTGCATAAGTAAAGCGTGAGCATATTTATCTTGCTTGTTATGGCAATAAAGGTTGTAGCACTTCAGTGCAACATAATAAATACTACTCTTGTTCTTAAAGCAAAGTTTTTAGTCCAGGAGCAGATACAATAGTGCCTGACATTCAATGCTGCAGCCTATTGGGGGGGGGACTAGTTGATTTAAATGTGGCATGTTTCCTGGAAATTACAGTTAGTAATGAGACTAATGGTCCAATTGTCTGCACACAAGTCCTACTAAATTTGGTAGGGGTAATATGATAGGATAATGCATGGTTGTTGATCATGGCAGAACTTTTAAGTGGATTCAGCAGAAGCCTTTACAATCACCTCGACAGACCTTCACACTGAGCATGCAAAGGTTTGCTCCGCTTCTAGGTGGGACAGAGCAGGGCTTACATGCACGCAACCATCCACAGTATGATTAGACCACTTCCTGCTTTCAGCTGGGAAGCCTGAAAAAGGCTTGTAAGTAAGCTTATTGTGTGTCTGTTCAGAATAACTGAAAAAGAGATTTCATTGCTTCCTAGGTGGCTGAGTAGTCTTTGAGTAGGATGTCATGTCACACACACACCCCAGCTTCAGCCAGATGGAAGCTGGCTCTCACACTTCAGATAAGAATAGGAAATAGGAAATTCTGAGGCTGGCTACATGGGAATTTACCCTTCTCTGTAGCTTCCTTCTGGAATGGTTGGGATCACTCAAAGAAGTTGACTACATGTTGCTTTTGTTAGAACATTCCAACTCATCACTAATGAGGAGCAATCCATCCCAGATTGATCTAGGGTTGGAATAATTAGGAGTAGTCCAAATGAAAGCGGTTGTCTTCCTGTCTAATCACCTACATTACTTCAGTGTGGGTGAGGGGTGTATTCTTCTTATATGTCAGTGATGATGTGTAGAGATATTAAATATATATAGTTTAAATATATATTCCATATATACAGTTTACTGTCTACAGTATATACTCTCTCTATATAGTTTATATATATTCCGCTGTAGTGTAGCATCATTTAAATCTTATACAGTGGACCCTTGATTTACGGAATTAATCCGTATTGAAACGGTGGCCGCAGGTCAAAAAGTCCATAGGTCTCGGTCCATTTCCCATAGGAATGCATTCAAAACCCATTAATCCATAACCGGCCGAAGAAAAAAATACCCCCCACAAAAAATGAAAATAAATACCCCTTCCCGGTCCGAAGGCGTACCCCTTCTAGGCACCCCCCGCCACTGTCATCGCTGCTGCCTGAGGCCTCTGAGGGCTTCACCGCTGCTGCCGGAGGCCTCACGGGGGTTCCTCGCTGCTGCCTTCACTGCTGCCCGAGGCCTCTGAGGCCTTCCCCGCCGCTTCTGGAGGCCTCTTGGAGGTCCCCCACCCCGCCAACGCAGGCTTTCCCAGGGTGGACCAGGCCTACCAGGGGAGGGCTTCCCCGGTAGGCCCGGTCTATCAGACTTTCCTGGGGAGTAGACCAGGCCTACCAAGGGAAGCCCGGTGTCCCCTGGGAAAGCCGGTGGTGGCGGTAGTGGACGACTTCCGAGAGGCCTCCCATGGTGGCGGAGAAGCCCTGGAAGGCCTCCAGAGGTCCCCCTACCCACCAGGCGTACCTCCAGAGCTTCTCCGGAGCACGATTGGTGGTGGTGGAGACCGTAGAGATGCCTCCCATGGCGGCAGAGAAGCCCTGGAAGGCATCTTGAGGCACAATCAGCGGCCTACGGACTGGAAGGGGGAGGTGGGGAAAGCGACAAGTTTGAATTTGGCACTTTCCCCACCTCCCCCTTCTGGTCTGTAGGTCAATTCTCCGGCCACAAGTCAAAGTAAAATTTTGCGACCAGAGAAGTCCACAACTCGAAAAGTCTGCAGGTGGAGCCCTGCGTAAGTCAAGGGTCCACTGTAAAGTATAGGGCTGAAGATGTTGCTCAGCACCTGTCAATGAAGAGTACATACCACAATAGTACAGTAGACAGCATTGTTTATTTGTTTTTTAAAGTCAAAAATGTTTTTCACCCTTTCCTTAAAAAATACTGTATGTTAGAAAACTGGAAAAAGTTTAGGGTTGTATTCAGCCCACCGACTTCTCCCTTATCCCAGGTTGTGGATGTAAAGAATTTTCCAGAAAATCTTTAAAAAAACTCTTAAGACTATATTAAACAATAAAGGGATAAAATGGATAAAAGATTGGATGGAGAAGATGAAAGATAAAGGAAATATAAAAGAGATTTTGGGAGGAGAGAGGATTTCTTGGTTTAACATGATTCAAATAGAAAGGTGGAGAAGGGAATGGAAAAGGAAGGAAGGGAAAAGTAGAAAAATGACAAAATTTGAAGAGATTATTGAAAAAATAATGAAATTAGAGGAAAAGACAAAAGAAAGGGAACTGTAAATCAAATGTATAAACTATTAATTCAGGCCAAACAGTATACACAAGGATTAAAAGCACAGTGGCAACATGATTTGGATAAAGAAGCAGTAGGAGAAGAATGGGATAAAATGTGGGATCAAAGAATTATGAAGAACATGTATGTAAGGATAAAGGAAAACTGTTATAAGATAATATGGAGGTAGTATTTAATGCCAGCAAAATTGGATATAATAATTAAAAATTTCTCATCACTATGTTGGGAGTGTAAAAAAGAGAAGGGGATGTATTTACATATGTGTTTGTTATGTGACGTAAGAAAGAAAGAATGGAAGCAATTTTTTAAGAAATAAGGGAAGTAACTGGATTAAATATTCATATGTCCTCATCAATGGCTTTATTGAACGTGGTTAAGAAAGATCAATTGTTGAAAGAAAATAAGAATTTAATTGTAATAATGGTTACGGCAGCAAGGTTAATATTTGCAACAAACTGGAAAAGTGATAACCAAATTAATTTAGAGGAATGGTAGAGAGAATTATGGGATATGGTAATTAATGATAAATTGACATGTGATGTGAAAATAAGAAGAGGTTAGGTTTATGTTGTTTGGATGTTATGTTTGTTTAATAAAAATTAAAATGAAAACAAAAGAAAATGTATTTCAGCAATGAAGAGAGGCAAAGGGTCACTTAGGATTAGAAAGAGAAAAGGAGAAATGCAGAGCTTTTCTCCGTACTCCACCTCTTTGTGCATATAAAATCCAACATTAATGCCAGTTGCAAGCAAATGGAAGCAGGCTGTTTCCTACCTTGCAGATAGCTATTACAAAAAAATTAAAATGAAAACAAAAGAAAATGTATTTCAGCAATGAAGAGAGGCAAAGGGTCACTTAGGATTAGAAAGAGAAAAGGAGAAATGCAGAGCTTTTCTCCGTACTCCACCTCTTTGTGCATATAAAATCCAACATTAATGCCAGTTGCAAGCAAATGGAAGCAGGCTGTTTCCTACCTTGCAGATAGCTATTACAAAGATAAGGCAGGGAGTGAAAAGGGGAGAGAGCCATTGTAACAAAACAGGCTAAAATGGAGCGATCCAGTGCCAACATATGGTTGACTAGATTGAAACTACACGGGCTACTGGAGTGATTTCTGTATGAATGAAAGAAGCAATTTCATCAAGCTCTACCATTCCAAGGATGTAGTGGCGCTGTGGATTAAACCGCAGAAGCCTCTGTGCTGCAAGGTCGGAAGACCAGCAGTCATAAGATCAAATGCACGCAACGAAGTGAGCTCCCATCGCTTGTCCCAGCTCCTGCCAACATAGCAGTTCGAAAGCATGTAAATGCAAGTAGATAAATAGGTACCATCACAGTGGGAAGGTAACGACGTTCCATGTCTAATTGCGCTGGCCACGTGATCACTGAAACTGTTTACAGACAAATGCTGGTTCTACAGCTTGGAAATGGGGATGAGCACCACGCCCTAGAGTCAGACATGACTAGATTAAATGTCAAGGGGAACCTTTACCTTTTACCTACCATTGCAAAGCAACCAGGCTAGATTGTTCCCTGTCACTAATGTTGGTCTAATTGTAGCATGGAGTCCAGTGTGTGCTGCTTCCCATCTCTGGATTTAGTGGTCCTGAGGTAAAACCATGCCATTGTGCAAGGCTTGGGAGTGAAAAGCGTATCTTTGTGGTGCACTTGACAAAAAGATTTGCCAACACTGAGTTATCTCAAGGGTTTGTACTAATATAGAGAGATCTTAGATCAGCAGATTCTGTGACATGCAAGATATATGATGATAATACCTATAACTGAAACTGTCTTTAATTTCTTAATATCTTTGTTCTGTTCTCTTTAAATGGCTCATAGTGAATGGAAAGGAATGATTCTGGACACTGAGATAGGAAAATTGAATCTATGATATTACTGACATCATGTAAATATAAGAGAAGATACTTAGTCATTTTCTTTCTCTGATGTTTTAAAATTTCTTTCAAAAGGTACATACCAGGGACAATGGACAGGAGGGATGAGACATGGCTACGGTATGAGGCAGAGTGTTCCCTATGGCATGGCAACTGTAATCCGTTCACCCCTACGGACATCTCTAGCTTCACTTCGTAGTGAGCAGAGCAACGGCACTGTTCTGCATGACATTACTTCAGACAGTCCAGCTGGAACAAGAGGAGGATTTGTGCTGAATTTTCACAGTGATCTTGAAGGTGTCAGTAGTAAGAAAAAAGGAGGATTGTTCAGAAGAGGATCCCTTCTCGGTAGTATAAAACTTAGAAAATCTGAATCAAAATCATCAATTTCTAGTAAACGTAGTAGCTCTGTCAGGAGTGATGCTGCTATGAGTAGGATTAGTTCTAGTGATGCCAATTCTACCATTAGTTTTGGAGATGGGGATTGTGATTACTGTCCAGCAGAAGACCACGTTGATGCCACGACAACAGAAACATACATGGGAGAATGGAAGAATGACAAGCGCAGTGGTTTTGGTATTAGCGAGCGCTCAAATGGTATGAAATATGAAGGAGAGTGGCTAAACAATAAGAGACATGGCTATGGATGTACCATGTTTCCAGATGGCACAAAGGAAGAAGGAAAGTATAAAAACAATATTTTGGTCCGTGGAATAAGGAAGCAACTTATACCGATAAGAAACACAAAAACCAAGGAAAAAGTGGAGCGAGCACTTGAGGGTGCCCAACGTGCAGCTGCCATGGCAAGAACTAAAGTGGAAATTGCAACCTCAAGGTATGGCATTTGTAAGCATGTTATTATTGGTTGCTTTAGAATTATAAAACTGTAAAGAGTTTGTTTGCTGTAGCTTACTTTGATAAAATTGCAATGCACAAATTCAGGTTTCAATTTATTGAAAGATACTCCACTTGCTTCAGTAGAATACCATATGTGACCTTAATAAGATCATTTTCAAAAGAGGTAGCCATGTTATTCTGTTTCTGCATGTGTAGCAAATATAAAAGCAACAGTGACACTTTAAAGACTAACAGATTTTATTTAAGTGTGAAGTTTCATGGACTGCAGTCTGCTTCCTGAAACATGTAGAGCGTAATAGTTACACCGTAAGTTAATATACACAAGGTAAATGATAGAGGGGAGTTGCCCACTAAAGATGAAACATGAAGGCGAACAGTTGTTTTGTAGTGAACATTCAGTTATAGGTGTGTTTTGTGTATGGCTTTAGCCAAGGCATTCTGTTCCTTGCCATATCTCTAACATCGGTGTAACTTCCTAAAAACAGCTCCCTTTGCACTTCAGAGGCAAGAGTCTCCCATTAGTATCAGTTAACAAGTAAGCTGATTGTTTCACCTTTTAATAGGATGTCTATGTAATTGATACTTTGAATGTTCTTTATTGGTGTTAATAATGTAACTTTCACATGCACAATTATCATCATCCTTTTCTCATCTCAATCCACCTCTATCATGTACTCTCTATATACAGACCTTTGGCCTATTTTGTTCCATGCATCTGAAGAAAGTGGAGTCCAATTCACAGATACGCACACTCAAATTAATCTGTTTTCCTTTAAGATGCCACAATACTTTTGTTTGATTCTTGAGTATATATGTCAGGTTCAGGGGCATAGCAGTATATATGGCTTTCTCATCCAGTGGTTTACATCATGAATTGTTTCTGGTTATTCCCCACTTGATCATTGATGAAGATAAAAAGGAGTGTCTGCTAGCCTGGCAGACCCTTAGGCTCTCCCTAGGGCTTCCATTTAGTGGAATGACTCAGAATCTCTAATGGAAGATCTGTGAAGGAAATGATTTAAAATTTGGTGTAGTTTGTTTTGCTGTTTTAGGGATCATGTGGCATGTATTTGCCATAGGGAAGACAAAGCAAATATATTTTGACAATCATAATAGTTTGTTAAAATATCTTCCATGATTGCATACAAGCAAAATTATAATCATTTTAATCTTACGTTTTGTTTCCTGCTTTTTGGTTAGTGCTGAAGGATAAGAGAAAACTGTTGTCTAAAATGATTAAAAATAAAATTATGGGTTCAATCCAGGTTTAGTCATAGTTATAGAAAATCAATTTTATTCATAGTCAATCAGTATTAACATAAGACCTGTTGATTAAAGTGAATCTGCTGTCTCTATTGTCTAATCGTAGATACTACCTAGAATGTATGTCTTTGCAAATAAATTGATACAAAGCTTCTTGGGTGGTTTTCTGAAGTTCAATTTTAGTTCAAAGTACAAATTCAGATTTCTCACAATTTAGTTGCAACTGTCACTTATGTATTTTTTTTTCATATTATCTGGTGTAAATATGACTTTTATAACAAAGTTAATATGGATATGGAACCTATTAATAGGAAGTCAAAGCTTTTTAAACAGTAATATTAAAAAGTAATAACTATCACTTATTAACTGTGAGTTACTTCTTTGGAAAACTGCACAAAAGTTTTAAGGGAGAAATTATGTAGGTAGAGTCATAATATCTTTCTGGAAAGCAATATAAAGTTTCGAACTGCAGTTCCTAAACCATTTATTGAGAATATTACATGAAATGATTGAAGGAGAATATTCTGGTGCTACAGTCTTGGTAAGAAAATATTCTGTAATATAAATTGGAAGGATGTGTTTGTATTGCACTATTTAAAAAATGACCTTGTGCAGCTGACCCTTGACATTTAGATTAAATCAACCTGCCTGCAGACCATAAATCTTAAGTGATACATTCACTGTACATGCAGTAATGATAATTTTAAGACATCTGAGCTGAGAAGAAGTTTCATATTTTAATTAGTTGCTTAATATCCATATTTAACAAATGTATGAAGTAATTGCATATGATACAACTCAGATTTAAAAGTCTGCAACTAGAGAGGAAATATACTTGATTACCCAATTTGCCCTCCAAGGAATGTTGGGTAGCTTGATTACGAAATAAAGTAAGGAAGAACTTGGCATGCATTATCAGCTAGCAGAGTGTTGCATTGATAGCCTAGTCTAAAATGTGTTCAAGGAACTGTCATATTAAGGATCCAGTTTAGTAGGCAACAGATTAACAGTTCAAATTTTATTTCATATTTTTAGTAAGAAAATGTGTAGTAATTACTAAGGATCTTAGTAATATATAACTTTAAAACATTAGACTGTGTTTTGAGTAAATATCCCATTGCGATTTCAAGATACTTTAGTTATAACAAGGGGAATTTAGGGTGGGTGTTTTTTGGGTTTTTTTAAAAAAATCGACAGGGATGTGTGAAAGTAAGCTTCAAAAGAACATAAGAATTCAATTCTTCAAAAAAAAAACCCTCCAGTTTATGAATGAGGGATATTATGCTTCTATACACACAATTCAAAAAGCCAGGAAATGGCCCAACCATGCCCATGTTGCCAGCAGGAAAAACGATGCCAAGCTGTACATAGCAAAGAGCAGCTTGAATGTTGACAACACCAGTGGCAGCAGTCAAGATGGTCTACAGATATCCTCTTCTGCTCACTATCATTTGGTTTTGTTGAAGAACAGCCCTGACAATTGCTTTGCGCTTGTGTGAGAAGTGGTTAACTGATGAAAAGAGGAGTCAGCTTCTGGGATTTTCCTTTGTGTAGTGTCACTTTGTGAATGGTAGTACTGCTGGGGGGGTCTCCTGTTCAACACCTTGGCCATTAGCCTATGGAGTGTCTCAGGGTTCCATAATTCCCCATATTATTTCACTTATACATGAAAAACCTAAAAGAGCTGTCCGTAATTTTGTGGTGTGGTACCCCAGTGTGCTGATGACACCCAACTCCATCTACATTTTAAGATCTTCCAGAAGGACCTTCTCTCAGTCTCTCAGGCCCCAGTGTGTGGTCACCCAGCCCCTATCACCACCACCAGTTTCACCATAGAGTCTACAAAAGATGCAATATGCAATTTAAGTGTAATTTTGCTTTAATGCCTCATTTAATCCAGAGGCAGCCTTTTTTTTAGAAACCAGAAGTGACCAGCCTGTCACTTCCCGTTTCTGACTAGACAAGGTGCATGTGTTGCATTTAAATGGGAAATGGTTCTCCGAGGGTTTCTAGGAGACATGAAACTTTCTCTACTCCAGCATTCTGTTGCCCAACCAGATGTCTACAACAGAGCACGAACACAGTTGCATTCTGTGTTTCCCAGCAACAGCATGCTGCCTCTGGTATCAGACACAATAAATAGCCGTTATGAGTAGCCTTTGCATTAAATTAGACTACTTGTCCATCTAGCCAATACTGTCCACATTCAATTTAATGCTCAAATCAGGGGTGTATTTTACTCAGATAATAATAATTGATCATGTGTCCTCAAGTTGATTCTGAGTTACTGTGACACTCTTCAAGGTCTCCTAGATATATTCAAAAGTGCTTCGCTATCTTCTTCCTTCTAGGGGTGCTCTGAAACTCTGCATCTTCCTGCAGGCTACACAGGCATTCTTCTTCTGGTTCTCTGGGCCCACATTTAAGTACGCAACTGACTGAGCTACCCAATTTGCATTCTATTTTGTTTCCTTGTAATTGGAGATGCCAGGGTTCAAACTGGGGTTCTGCAACAGAGTGAGGGCCAAACAGTTCCATAAGTCACAGAGGAGAGAACTTTGTGGATCATGGGTCACATACGCAGCTTCAGCATCCCTCCTTGAGTCTCCAGATCCATCCCATCAATTAAAAATGTTCAAAACAAAAAGGCAATTGTCCCTTTCAAAACTGGTTAGAGGCATAATTCTTAGCTAAAATAAAGTAGAGTCCCTTATACCTCATTTTAGTCCACAAAACACTTTTTCAGATGCTCTCCCTATATTGTTCCGGCTTTGTTGAAAAAAAAATTGGCCTATGTTGCGTTGAAAGGTATGTCATAACTCTACTGTATGAGAATGTGGATAGTGATAATGGATTGAACTGAAGTAGGGTAATTGAAAATATAATATGGAAAAGCATAGGGCATGGTGAACAGACTCAACTTGTGTTTGCTTAGTTAAATGAATAGCCAGTGTGGGATGTGGATTCTTTGACCAAAGCAATGGCAGGAGACCAGCTGCAGAACTGTATTTTTGCTTAACGTTCCTTGTGGAAGAAATGGTACAAATGTGAGTGGAAGCTGCTCTTCCAATTGTTATCTTTTCTCCCACAGCTGGAAAAGCAGCTTTGGTAAAGCAGAGTTGGATTTTAGATGAGTGGGCAAAGGTACAACCAATTCCTTTCTTCTCCCTATTGACTTGGGACCATTCCCCCAATCAGATTTGAAACATACTGAAGCTGATTTTTATAACAGTTGGGAGACTCTTACGCTCATCTGGCATGTAATATCTGTGTTTGACTCTTAACTTGAGGAAGATAGGATAGTGATTTTAGTAGACATTTTGTCAATATTTGGTTCCTCCTTGAAGTAAGCAAGAACATTCAGCTTTCTTTTCTTGTGTCCTCTTTTGTTTCTTTTCTCTAACCCAAAAGAGATTTATAGGGTTTGTGTCCCCCATTATTCTCAACTCTTTGGCCCATTTCCTACAAACAGGCATTTGTTTAAATATAGGCCGCTGTGTGTGGCAGTTGTTCATGCCGTCTGTTATCACAAGGATTGGTGGCTTTTTGGCACGCACCCTCCCAAGCCACCTTCCCAGCAGCAGACAGTCATATACAACTGTTTGCTTATGATAAGAATCAGTCTGCCCACATCAGCTGCAAAAAAACGGAGAGCGTGCATATAGCAGTACATGTTTAAAAGCTGTATTTGTGTAGGCTGGAACAATAACAGTT